ATTACTGCCATAAAAGGTGCATTAGCATATTTTCTGTGCTATCAGTTATTTTGCTGGAGCAGATGGTGGAAAGTTTTTTTTAATCAATCATTTTTACATAAAGAAATTTGGCTTTGATAGTTGAAAATTTAAGAAGATTTATTGATCCCAACTGTTGTGCAGTAAAAGTAAAATAACTGAGCAGGAGGCAAAATGACAAATTGAATTTTATTACACAGAAAAAGCAAAGAAGGAATCAGAGCTTTCTTCATCACAAACTCTCAAACTCATTTGCATGTGCAGCTCTGGTGATCTTGGACTTCCCAGTCGATATCTGTGGACATGATACACTCTCTCACAAAGCCAGGAAATAGAAACCTACGCTTCTCAGTCAATCTGTAAACTGCTGACTTCTGCCAAACCCTCTGCTGCTACGACAGCAAAGCACATTTGGCAGGATTAGATGTTCAAAACATATATTATATTTGATTTTTATTTACACTCCTTATTACAGTTTTCTTCATATTCCTGGTTTATATCTTTGTCCTTATTTGTGTTCCCTCTAGTCTCTGCTGCTGTGATAAGCTGTCGTCACCTCAGGCGTTAATAAAGTTAATCTTTCCTTTCCTCAGTTTGTGAAGCCAGAGGGCTTCGAAATGTTTGTTTTCTTTTCTTGTCAGTTTAAGTGATCATGTCACTTTCAAATTACTCAAGATGTTTTTCTCATATCTGGAAATAGTTTAAAGCTATTGAGAGTGCAGACAGGCGTGTAGTAGGTGTGTACACTTCATTTGTATAATGATAGTCTGGTATGGTGGTTTGAGAGACAGTTCAATAACTGAAGTTCATTAAAAGGTTACTTAGGTTTTCAGACAGATTGTGGGTAGTATGTGTGACCATAGTAAACTTCCCTCCATCTTACCAGTGCTTAGATCTCCTTAGATCTGCTCACCTCTCAGCAGTTCTTTGCTAGATGACGCATGTAGTTATGCATAGATACCATCCGCCACCCAGGCTTCCACCATGGACACTTTGATCGAACAGTAAAACGAGGCAGTGGTGATCAAATATAAACCGAGATTATGTCACTGCATTGCATATTTCTCGCCTAAAATGTTCTTTAGAAACATATTTTATTGCTCTCTTTAGCTGAAATAGTGAGAGATTATGAACCAGAAGTTGGCCGGAAAAACAGAGATCAAACAGTAAAACTCAACAGGGCTTATCAAATATACACTCACTGGCCACTTTATCAGGTACACCTTGCTAGTACCGTGTCGAATCAGCTCTTGCGGTCAGAACTGCCTTAATTCTTGCTGTCATAGATTGAACAAGGTGCTGGAAACATTCCTCAGAGATTTTGGTCCATATTGACATGATAGCATCACACAGTTGCTGCAGATTTGTCAGCTGCACATCCATGATGGGAATCACTCGTTCCACCACATCCCAAAGGTGCTCTGTTGGATTGAGATCTGGTGACTGTGGAGGCCATTGGAGTACAGTGAACTCATTGTCATGTTCAAGAAACCAGTTTGAGATGATTTGAGCTTTGTGACATGGTGCATTATCCTGCTGGAAGTAGCCATCAGAAGATGGGTACACTGTGGTCATAAAGGGATGGACACGGTCAGCAACAATACTCAGGTAGGCTGTGGTGTTTAAACCATGCTCAGTTGGTACTAAGGGGCCCAAAGTGTGCCAAGAAAATATCCCCCACACCATAACACCACCACCACCAGCCCGAACCGTTGATACAAGGCAGGATGGATCCATGCTTTCATGTTGTTTATGCCAAATTCTGACCCTACCATCTGAATGTCCCAGCAGAAATCCAGACTCAGCAGACCAGACAATGTTTTATCAATCTTCTATTGCCCAGTTTCGGTGAGCCTGTGTGAATTGTATAGCCTCAGTTTCCTGTTCTTAGCTGACAGAAGTGGCACCTGGTGTGGTCTTCTGCTGCTGTAGCCCATCTGCTTCAAGGTTCGAAGTGTTGTTGGTTGAGAGATGGTCTTCTGCAGACCTCGGTTGTAACGAGTGGTTATTTGAGTTACTGCTGCCTTTCTATCATCTTGAACCAGTCTGGCCATTCTCCTCTGACCTCTGGCATCAACAAGACATTTTCACCCAGAGAACTGCTGCTCACTGGATATTTTCTCTTTTTCAGACCATCCTCTGTAAACACTAGAGATGGTTGTGTGTGAAAATCCCGGTAGATCAGCAGTTTCTGAAATACTCAGACCAGCCTGTCTGGCACCAACAACCATGCCACGTTCAAAGTCGCTTAAATCATCTTTCTTCCCCATTCTGATGCTCAGTTTGAACTTCAGCAGGTTGTCCTGACCATGTCTACATGCCTAAATGCCACATGATTGGCTGATAAGCTATTTGCATTAATGAGCAGTTGAATAGGTGCACCTAATAAAGTGGTTGGTGAGTTTAAACTAAGACTCCGTTACTGCATTGCCTATTTCTCTCTCCAAATGTTTTCAGAAACACCTTCTGGTAGTTGTACATTTTCTACCTCTTGGAAATACCGAATGCCACAGTCCTTTTCCTCTGTTTTCGCTGGTCATTTAGCACCAATTTCCAAAGTGTTTGCATCTTTCTGCTGCATAGACAGCCCAGTTTTATTACAAGTGGTGAAATACTTCTTTAATGGCATTCTCCATAAAAAGTGTCTTCATCAGCAGCCATTTTCTTTGCTGAAGTGTCCTTGAACAAGACATTGAGCCCCAACTTGCTCACATGCCTGAATTAACTTAAATACCAAAGACAGAGTAAAGGACCCACATATAGCCTCTCAGAGCTCATTTAAAATCAAATACTTAAAATACACTTTGCAGCAGTATATTATGTGTGAGTGTGGCAGCTGTGGCTCTGCGAGTAGTCAGCAGGGCTGGCAGTTTGATCCTCAGCCCATTGGGTGTAAATGGTTGAATGAGAGACCAGGAGTTTTTGAAAAAAGCAGCATATAATTGCAGTTTATTCCATTCCATAGTAGTATTAACTCATATAAGCAGTTTTTAGCCACTGCCTCGTTGGCTAAAATCAATCTTTACCAAAAGAGCAGTTCACAGAACTGAGTTGCAAAAGCATTTGCGAGAGCCTTTTGGGGGTTTGTCGCAGTTCAGTGAAGGTACAGCAGACGATGATTCATGCACCTGCAGATGCATGTCTGCCCTCAGTGTGAGTCAGAAGTCAAACTATCTTGTGCTCCAAAAAATACATCATTCTAGGTTGTACCTGTATGCTTCTCTGTATGCCGAGAAATGGGATTTGGCACAAGCACATTTTGGATACGCCTGTGATGTGTGGAGTACGCTGAGTGCTCTGTAAGCTGGAAACTGGATAACCAAAAAAAAAAGATAGATTTTTATGGAGATTCTTGGAAAGTTATCAATTGGTCTTATCTGAAATTCAGTATAATTGTTTGCCTTAAGTCATCATCTGCTTATGTTGTATTATCTTTGTACTATGGATGGCCGCCCACCCATGACTTGCTTATGTTAACTTTATTGATGGGTTAGAATTGTTTTTGGTTCTTTGGTATAATGTGAGTTCTACTTTGTAACCTAAAGTAATTGTTTCTGTCACCTTTTCTTGTTTTCTCAGAATTTTGAGTTTACTTATTTCAAAGTGATGATACAGATGCTGTTTTCTTTTGTCTTGTCTTCCTCCTGTCATCCTTTTTTTTGCCTTCCCTTCACTGTTTTCTTTTCTTTTCCTTCCCATCCTGCTCCAGCTCTTATCAGTTGTCCATCACCTGTCCATATAGTCTGCCTCTCTCCTTTTGTGTTGTATTGAGCTATGTGTTGCTGTTCCAGGCCAGCAGAGTTTAAGTGCATGCCAGGTGTTCAAAAAAACTTCTTCCTAAAATACAAGTCCACAGTCCATTGTGTGGATGTCTCTCAGATTTATATTTCCACATAACACAAATTTGTAACATTTTACCTGCAGTGGGTACCTACAATGCTCATCTTCAGGTTCATGCTTGTATTTCGTGTTTCCATTAGAACATATCTACATGCTTTAGGTTCAAAAAACAGTTTATTTTCTTCATACTGTCTGTGCTGGAACATCTGTATTCACCCTCTGTCTGAAACACTTTGTTTTCACACCCCTTCCTAAAAAAGCCCAGTCTGCTCTGATGGTCAGTGTATTCAGGTTCTCCATATCTTGGAGTTTCTGCACCATCATTGCAGCTGAGGAATGACTTTAAATGCCAATTCACAGTTTCGGTGTATCTCTTAGCATTCAGATGCCTTTACTCTTAGCATTTAGATTTTAGCATTCAGGATGTGTGTCCGCATGGTGTTTTTCTTTGGCAGAGTGGTGGCATGGCACTTGGAGCACTTCATCAAAAGTGTTCCCAGCGTTTTCTTTAATGACACACTCCGCTTGGGTTTCTTGTTTCTATGATATTATCTCCACATTAATGTTAACTTGGTAGCAATCAGAGAGTTGACTACACAGTTAACAGCTACCTTTTAATGTGTAAGCTGGTAAAACCACAACACTCGCTGCCCTCCCACAGATGGGCTTTTCTGTCTTTGCTGTGGAAGTTGACGACTGACTTACTGCTCGGGATAGATAGTAGCTAAAGGTGAAACAGTGCCTTTCTTAAACATTCAGAGACTTTCAACTACCAGCTTTCGGTGTGGGAACTAAAAAACCAAAGCAATCTCAAAATATACACTAGGCACTCTAGGTGGCCGCATGCAGCCGCATATGCTCTCTCTTCAATGGGAACAATTGAAAAACAGACACTGGCACTCAGAAAAAAACATGCTAAGTGGACACAGGTCTGTGACAGAGCCTCAGACTGACAGAAATAAAGATATGGGTTTGTTTTACAGTCCTCACTGTTTGCATGTTCTCCCCATTAAAGTGATGATAAAATTTTCTTAGAAATTATTCCATTATGTGGCCAGGATTCAAATAAGAAACAGTTTCTCCTTTTCAATCTTCAGACTTGAGCTGCTGAGTGTTTTTGTTCTTCTCTTACTTTGGAACAGGTGGAGGGCAGAAGGAGGTTCAGGTATCGAAGCAGGATGCAAAGCTGCTCATCGAGGACTTTGACCCCTCTAAAGAATACAACTTTAAGATAATTGCTGTCAGTGGGGGACAGCAGAGCAAACCTCTTCAGGCCAAACATGAAGGTAAGAGACTTTCACAGACAGCCAAATCTTCAGCCCTCAGTCATACGACTCCCCTGATGACTGACTCTGAAGGCTGACACGAGCAGTGTTAGATTGATGCTGTCAGAAATAAATCACACATGACATAAAACTGCTGCTGAACTGATCACTATGTGACATCAGGCTGCGCTTCAGGCTCCAATCAGTGATGTCACAGTTGGTGTTTTCCATTAGCTATGATTGGCAGAATACCTGCTGTGACATCACTGATTGGGGTGTGGCCACCAGAGCAATAGCCTTGAAAGTTTGAACCTGTGGAGATCAACACAGCAGCAGTGGGTGATTCAGTGTCTCTGTGTTGTGCCTTAATTAATGCTGCTGACCTCCATTGTTTAGTGATGCCTCCGCTGTTTATTTGGCTAATGTGTGTGTGTGTTTGGTGGAAGATGGAGTGCAAGTTGAGCAAAGCAGGAAAGAATTCAAACAGCATCACAAACAACAGCACGCCTCAGCTCACTGCTGTGGTTGTGAATGCAAAAATATGCGCGGTGAGTTGTTTACTTTGTGTCAGTTGCTGACATTCAGCAACCTACAGATATTTACTTGTCATACTGTGCATCAAGAAAAAAATAAATACAACACAAAGACCTTTTAAACAGGATTTTTAATGCAGAAATCCACAGGAGTGTTGCCTTCATGTATCACATCAGGGTGGAAAAACCCTTTGACTCAGCATTTTTTCAGGATCATGCTGCTCTTCAAAACTGAAGAAATGGCATAAAATCACAGCTTTTTCACTTGCATTCCTGTGCTGTAAAGTGTTAATGAAAAACAATGTGGGCCCCTTTTAAATTATCTACTGCACATGCTCTAAAGGGCATGTCCGACTTCACTTTTGCTTGTTGTATTCTGTTCCTTAATTAATCATAGGTGTGTTCTTCATGTAACATTAAGTAAACAAATTAAAGTGTCATCTCTAGGGCTGCCCCCAACTAAGAATTTTTCTAGTCGACTAATAATCGTCATTTAGGGCCATTAGTAGACTAGTTGCCTGCATGTTTGCGATATTAATTTAGATATTAAATTTTATATTTTGTGTTGTGTGCTACATTACAGAGAAATACAAAACCGTACTAATGAACCTTCATTAATATAGGCCTATATTTTATCTACAAGTGCACGTCACACACTGAGCGAGCCGCCTGTTAATGACGCTGTCTGCAAAGCAGTAATGACTGTGCTAAGTGGCTAATGGGCATGTAGCTACTTTCATGCATTGAGGTTGCTAAGCAACCTTAACAAACACTGTATAGCCAATATACCTGAAATCCTGAGGGCAGAGCTGTACATGCATTGTAAACCTGCCTATATAAGCACATCTTTCTATCTGAATAATACTGTTTACATAGCAGGAAATGCTGCACTATTCTAACTTTAGAGCAGGTTTTTGATGGTCAAGGCGCAATCACTTTCTGCTGCCTCAAATTGCAACACGCCAACAAGGCGCCCATACCACACCTCATTTTAAGACCTACATGCCCATGGGTGCACAGATGGGCACAAGTACATTTGCTACTCACACAGCGTGGGTGCTGGCAGTGAAAATGACAACTGTGTTTCTCTAAAAAGAACAGTGACAGTGGCGCTGTGCTGTACGTTGCTTTGTGTCAGGTGTAAGATCAGGCCCTGTGTAACTGAACCCTGGCAGTCAAGCCAACTGAATAGCAGATCTTAATGGTGGGGTTCACTTGAGTGATTGATGGATCATAAAAAACAAATATTAAAGTGCAGGCGGTATGGCCAAAATGAAATAAAATAATGAGAAGGTATTAAAAAAAAACATCAGTGTTGATTCACTGAGATCCTCAGGCTGATTGGGAGCTACAATTGAATCACACTGTGCCAAATTGATCAAAGTAAGGAAGTATTTGATGTTGTTTTTCAGTTGTTGCCACTTGGCCAGTTTCTTACATAAAGGCTTAAATACACTCATATTTTCTAATTTGTTGTTGAGTTTATTGTTATCCGTTCTCATTGATTCTATTCTTGGAATATCAGAAATATTTGGTTTTGCTTTTTTCTCCTCTCTTAAATAATTAATATGCACATAACTGCTTTTTGGTCTGTTCTGTTGCGTTTTGTGTTTTACTGGCAGATTTGTTGATGAAATGGAGTGATATGCATCATGGCCCTCATTTATGAAACAAATGCAAAACTGAGGCTACAATCGCACGTCCGGTCTTAACTTGTGTATGCAAGTTAGAGTCAGCAGGGTCTGGCGATTTAGCATAGTAAATCTGGCTGAGTTCTTAAAGTATATTCTAACTGACTTCTAAGTATTTGCAGCCACATATTGATCCCTAAAAAAATGAATAGTCACCACATGGATGTATGTTATCAGAGCTAGCAGTGACCCGAGCCGCCTGTTAATGACACTGTCAGCAAAGCAGTAATGATTGTGCTAAGTGGCTAATGGGCATGTAGTTACTTCCATGTTTCAGATGATACGTCATGTTTGTAGTCTGAAGATGAGTTTACATATCACCTTGGGTTAGTCCTTCACCTTCTCAAAATGATCCCACACTTTGGATTTCCTGCCTGACATGTTATTAACTAGCCTGTGGAATAACTGCAGGAACCAGCCCTGGAAATTAGGGACCTATGCATCCTTAATCACCTAGAAAACGGTGAGGTTTGGGCACTGGGTGCTACTCTTGTGCCTTTTCTGTGCCAGCTTTCAAGAGCGCAGGGGCAGGTTGCATCTGACAAGTATTGTATAGCCTATTTACCTGAAATCCTGAGTGCAGAGCTGATCTTCTTCCAGGTGCTGTTTATAAGTGTGTAGGCCTGTCGACTGTGGGACAGATGCTAACACTTTGGGTAGCCCTGCACGAAAATGATCAACTTTTCTGTAGGCTATATATCAGAATATTTACGGAAGAAGGGAAAGATATCTGTCGGCTGTGATTGGTTTGTAACGTGACTCCTGTCTGACTGCTGAGCGGGGCCTCTTCCTGTGTCTGTCCTTTCAAATTAAATTCCCAGATGGTCCAGTCATATAGGTTTTGATTTATATAGCGCAGCTCCTGATGGAGTTTCACATTTTTTTGTTTATTTTTTTTCCTGTGACTAAGCGACCAATGAAATCTTGCCAACTAACTCACTACTCGACTATTAGGGTGCAGCTCTGTTTTGAACTGTAAGCCATGTCTCCAAAGAAAAACTTTCAGTTTGTCTGTTTTATCTAATAAGATAAAGTTTTCAGTCTGTTCATCTCACTTTAGCCATTTTTGCAGCAGCAACAACTAAATGTACCTAGTGGACTAATAAAGCAATTGATTGTATTACTGTAGTAGGCTACCTAAAGTTTAATTTGTATTTGTAATGTTAATAATTTATGTAATAAAAAAAAGATATGTGGCACTGTGTGACAATATGATATTACCACTCAAAAATATTGCGATACTATGCTGTATCTATTTTTTCCTCCACCCCTAATATAGGCTAATATTATTGATGCCTGTAGGCTACAGGTTGGTACGCCTGTATATCATAAATCTATAAATTTAAATATTCTAAACTCGGGCAAACAGGGCAAACTGGTTAAATTGCTCTTGGGAAGTCAGTGCTTCCATTTCTAGAAGAAAAGTTTCTCCTCTTGACCGTATTACACCTCTTTATGTCATAAACTCTAGTGGCAAGGCCTCTAAACCCAGAATATTTTGGGGTGAGATTTGTAAATGAAGATTGTTTTCAGTTGCCATATTAATGACACCTGATCATTTCTACGCTGTGATTGGACAGATAAAACCGTTTCATGAATCATATGCAGACCCTATCAAAAGGTGATTTCTGCGCTTGGATCTGCACTGGTTTGTACATTTGATTGATAAATGAGGGCCACTGTGTTTCTCCTCTGTTTTCCCACCATTCATTAATGCAGATACTTGCATTGTGTGTTGTTTGTTCCAGCTCAACAATCGGCCGTTGAGATGGTTCAGTCTCAGAGGAGACAGGACAGCGGTGTCACCGAGGAGAACAACGAGATAACAGAAGGTAAGATCCTCAGCAGGCAAACAGAAAGCAAACCAGGTGAACAGAAACACCAACACGGGAAGGACTGATGCATCTGTCAGCATGAGTCTCTGGTCGTCTGGATTCAAGACCAAGAGCAGAGGAAAATTTTTGTAAAGGAGAAATGCCGTGTCAGGAAGATTGTCATTCTTAAAGAGCAACTACAAAAGGGAAAGTAAGAAAAGTGTCCTGTAACCAAGAACCAGTTTTTTTACAAATTGGAGAAGACTGCTGTACAGACTCTCTGTTCTCAGCTCATTTCTCCAAAATGCAGACAGCTTCTGTTTTTGTGAGGATTGCTTCCACACTGACACATAAAGCTATCATTTTTAGCACCATGACCTTTTTCAGACAGATTTTGACTGAGGAAAATAACGCAACACAAACAGGTAAGTAGAAGCTGAAGAGGCTGCAGAGTTTGTCACGGACGGCTGCATTCACTGCAGGTGTGGAACGAGTTTGATTCACAGCATAAATCAAAGACAGTTTGTCCTGTTCTCTCTGTCTCTTTTTGGAGAAACAGCCATTTTGTGATTTTTTTTTTACTGACCTCACTCCTTCAAAGATGGAAGAAGACCTGTGAATGTAATATTTCTGCAACCACCCAGCGATTACCATCGGCCCCATTCCAGAGAAAATGGAGGTGAAGGAAATGAGACAGTTTGAAAAAGAGAATTCAAGCAAGAGACTGCAACAATCAGGAAATGAATCAAGAGACAAGTGCAGTAAACAAGCCTATTATAATCTTGAAAGTGATTGTAAGGCCCACATGCTGAGGTGCACAATCAGACACTGCAAGGAAAAAAAACAGGAAACAAGGACAGGAGCAGGTGAGCCTTCATCTCTGAACTGTGTGTCTCTTTAATATTACAAACCACAGAAGCACTGGACTGCACTGGCAATCACAGTTTAGATTTATATCTCCACAAAATATCTCAAAGCTTTACAAAATGTTACATTTCAGTGTTTTGGTTTTGTACCATAACAGTGTTAATACAAGTTTTTGGACTGTGTATGTGTGTCTGGTGTGTTGCTGTGCTGTGTTGAAAGGTCTTTCCCATGTTTTGTTGCCCTGTGAATGTTTGTAGGAGTGGACAAAATATTGGAAACACTTCTGAATAGCAGCTTAAATCATATTTTCAGTTGCGTTTCTCTCTGTATGAAAACCAGAAACATTTTGTCGAAAATATCCTACTGCATAAACACAGTTAGTTTACCTGTCTGTGTTTTGTTAACAGAAACCTGATGTTGTGCCGTTGTTCCTTTGCAGCTTTTGAAAATGTGATGTGTCCCTTTGTGTGAGTGGTGTTGTGTTTTGAAGCCTTGAGATGGAGGAATGGTGTTAATGATGGTGCAGATGGGACTTCTGGCAGACGGTTAGCCGCCGCCTCAAACCCAAATTACAGCTTCTGCTCTGAAAATCGTCACAACGGGATAAATACTTGGCAGTTCAAAAAAAATATATGTTTTTTTCTGGTTTCCAAATCTCCTTATTGGTGCATCTCAATCAGCCATACTACATTTATTTTCTTTACCTGTCTGTAGTCACATTTCTGTCGCAGCATGTTTAGATCCTTTTGATGGAATTTTACCTTTCAGTTTCATTTTTCTATCTCTTTGTTCAGAATGAGAAAAAAAAA